ACTTCTTTATTTCCTGGAATTCAGTTTTTATATTGGATAATTCAGAAAATAATTTGTTTAAGGTGTCATTTAGAGTGGACTTCCATTCACATAGGTTTCGTTCTTGATCCTCTCTCCATTCAGAAAGCATTTTCAGGACATCCGCTCTTAAGTCGCTACTTTCGGAACTAGAATGAGCATTCGGGGAAGAGGTCTCCATTCGTTGTCGCTTGGAGCGCGTTGTTATATTGGTGTCACCCTTGGCAATACAGCCCGCACTCGTCATCGGAGACTTCGAAAGATCAGACTCCGATCGGGAACAAGACATCACAGAAGTGTTACGAGGGGGTGAGTGTTGGATATTGGGCATATCTTCAATGAACCCAGAGTTCAATATCGCAAAGCAACAATAGACAATCGCACCAGTTGATCGTAGCAGGTATAACAGCTATGTAGTAACGTAGCAAATCACAAGCGTCGTAGTCTTACTTACGTCATTAGCCAAATGTGATGTAGAATTTCGACTCGCCGGCACTCAACCGTTTGGTGTAATGGCAAACAACAGCGCCCACCACACAGCCTATCCACGAAGAGGCACGGGTTCAAAACCACAAAAATCCAAATAGTTCAATTTAGTATTTTAATTTAAGATTTTAAATTTAAATTTCTCACAAAACTCAACACAGTGGACACGTCCAAGCGCTTCCGCGGTCCGGGGGATTTTTATAATTCGTGCTTGCCTTTAGAAATTCGACCGTGTCCTCCATGTACGGTTTAAGCACTCGCCCGGTACCGCACAACCCACCCAAAGGCCGAGAATAAATTTAAATTAAATTAAAACTTGCCCTCGAACCGGGAATCGAACCCGGTACCCCTCACCTAGCTGCCACTTAATAAAACCGCTAGGCTATGATGCCCCCAGATTCGAACTTGCTCATGTCGCACATTTCCATCACTTGACATACGTACCATGGACTAAGCCCAAATTTGACTTAAATGAAAATGATATATTATATATCCTTACATATGAAATTGTTTTGTCGTATTGGCCACTTTGACCTCAAAAAGAGGAGATCCTCTTTGGTTAAGAATACAAACACTTTTACAGCTATTAATCGTCATAGTTTTTGACCCTGGGCCAAAATGCACCAACCGTGCGGGCCATAAAAAAAAGTTATAGTCGTAAAATATTGACGGATCTGACAAATAATAAACTTTCCAGGGCAGCCATTTCGAAATAATATAATCATGTTAGTTTTTGTCATAACTATTTTAATTCATATTCTGTTATTATAAAATTGGCATACAAGCAAACAAAAGGGTTTGTTTCGAATAAAAATAATAACATTAAACTACACAGTTTTCTAGAAAAATCACATGTTTCTATCGAATCCGTCACTTTGCCGACTGCTTAATTTGAAATTTAAAACACATGGATTTTTGAGGTTATACTTCTTTAGGCGCGTTATGAAAAATTGATGAGAGTGAAATTTTACGATGCGCGCGCACCGCGCCACAAGATTAACAGAATGAAGTTGCCCACGGAAGATGCTACGGCATTGGACATAATTCAAAACCAACGTTCGAATAATAATAGAATTTATGTTACACTTAATGTAAGAGAATAATAATAAATATTTATTTATTTAATTTTTCAAATGTAAACTGAACTTTATTGACTATAATGACTCCTTTTCCGGTCTTTGATTATTTGATTGTAATTAATTATTTGCATGCAATCAAAAACTATTTTTAATAATGCCAAAGAAGTATAACTTGACATTGTTCTACGATCATGACGATTTTTCGTGCATTTGGACTCCGGACCTTGCTCCAACAGATTACCATTTATTTTTTAATTTGGATAACTTCTCGCAAGGTAAAATATTAAACTCTGAGTGGGCAAACCGCCTTCAAAGATTTTATTGATTCCCGTCATAATTTTCTTTTAGTAAAGGGATCAATGAACTACCTATATATATATAGATACCAAAAGTTAATTAAATAAATATATTTTATTTAAAAAAAAAGGGTGCGTGTACTTATGTACGCGCGTAACAAGTTATACTTCTTTGGCTTTCTTTATTTTTTTTAATATTAAATAATTAATAATAAATACTTAAAGTTAATAATTTAATAATATTTAATATTTAGTATATTATTCAATTATTAATTAATATATATAATAATTATTATTATTATTTATTATTTTATTATATTATTCATTCAATTTAATAACTAGGTATGTTTCATAACCTTTTAACTAAGTAACAATAGGTCTTTGTGAAGAAGCATTGCGAAATTTCTTTGAAAAAATAATTAAAACTCCTTTATTTGTTTAAAAGGTACTACAAAGGTCATTAAAATATCACTCTCATCAATTTTTCATAACGCGCCTAAAGTAGTAGAACTTCAAAAAACTACTTTTTGTTCCACCCGTAAAGGCCGCCAATTTCATATTTAAAGACCTAATATTTTGGACTCTAAGTCTAGTGTCGGTACTACCCTAATCCCGATATAACAATTAAATTCTTACTTGGGTCACTCAAACGCCACGTGACAATAGACCAGCCTATAAAACTCATTACAAAAATGTCGTATGAGATGTATCTTCACCTATCACTTAAGTCCTTTTTGAGATAAATAGGCTGGTTAAGGCGTGACCTACTTTCGCAGGTCAATAACCCCGGAAGGGGCTCGGCCCTCGGGGTGATTGGAGATAGACAATCATAATAACTAGGCATACATAGATTATATCGCACCCACAAAAACTATTTTATTATTTGAGTTTTGTATATATATATATATATACACAAAACTATAATATAATATTTTCTAGGTTTCGCCCATTAAATCAATTACCGGTCTTAAGTCAATCAATCAGTCACGTCACTGCAATTCAAATTATTCCCTTTCAACGTAAGATCATCAAAACATGATAATTAGATCTGAACAATTCATTGAGTAAAATCTGAGAAAAAAAAGAAAGAGAAATAGAAAAATATGGATGAGGTTTTAACCCTAAAAGAGAACATGCAATACTAGACCGATAAAAAAACTAACTAAAAACTTTACAACTTATACTAACACAACTAATACTCATTTTAAGAAATGCTAACAAACAAATTTTTGTATGTATTCATTAATGAGCAGTGTTGGCCAAGTGGCTTCATCGTGCGACTCTCATCCCTGAGATCGTAGGTTCGATCCCAGGCTGTGCACCAAAGGACTTTCTTTCTATGTGCGCATTTAACCGCTCGAACGGTGAAGGAAAACATCTTGAGGAAACCGGCTTGCCTTAGATCCAAAGAGTCGACGGCGTGTGTCAGGCACAGTAGGCTGATCGCCTATTAGATCGACAAATGATCATGACACAGATACAGATTGTAGCGCGACTGAATTTTATTTATTCATTAATAAAGCTCCTACAATAAATAAAGACAGATTCTATACTACGATAACTTATAACCATTAGTAAAATATAGCAACACTGTTTACGCTCCGTCAATGACACATGTCAGCACGCCCTATATACATAATGGCGGAAGTCGACAGCCCACCCAAGAGACTCCTTTCACTTGCTACTCTAGCCTCTATTACATAGACATAAGGTTCTGTTTTGTAATGGAATACACAACGGTCCAATGCCCATATGAATGTTGCAAACTGCATTCAAATTACAATGTTAATTTTCTAAGTATCACTTTATACGTGAAGGTATTAGATTTCCTCCCTGTGGTGCACATGAAAGTTTTACGTGCGAAAATTTAATCGATAAAAATTCATGTAACCAACATTATTTGTCTTAATTGTTTTAGCTTAGGTTTCCTAGAAAAGCGGTGCCGTTAACTAGCGGCCGTCATTTTACGGATGTTAATAACAGCCGTCTTTACAATCATTTACGCTCGTCCAAGTCACACGAAAACGTTGAACTAATGCTTATCACCGCTATGACGGCCTTCATGCAAATGACAGCACTGCTATTTGACGTTACAGTGACACTCAACGTTCTCTAGGAAACCTACTCCGATGTTATTTATAGACAACGTATGGGTGACGTCACCCAACGCTACATTACGGCCGTTAGATAACGGTACTGCTTTTCTAGGAAACCTAAGCTTTAGGGGTATTAAGAATTGGAAACCAGACGGGACTTACAGTTGGCCTACTACGTAGGTACTGAAAGTCTTGAGGGGGGTGTAGTGTGCAACCCAAGTGTACTCCAAGAACTGGGTTTCTTAGTACCTATGGGATGTGTGCGACGGCGAAGTGCTAGGTTATTTGCGATACCAAAGGCAAGAACCAGTCTGTTGCACAGATCCCCTTTATCAAAGACGTTCCTTCAATGAATGCTGTCTCCGACACTATCGACATATTTATATGTTCGCAGAGTGAATTCACAGTAGCGATATTGTTTATATTATATGTTTCATATTATATATGTACGTTATTATATTTATTGAATGTTTCTCGACATTATATTGGCATAGTCTGTAATGATAATGTATGTATTTCTGTAATAAATAAATAATAATAATAATATTTTTGACATTTTTATTTAGCTTTAATACAATCACACAACATCATTGACTCAATGCTTTGGTGTGGGATAATTATATGGACACTTTTGCCTCGTCTCACCTCCCGGATAAGCACACATTTTCGAGCGACCGTAAAGCAGGCGGAAAATAATAATCAAATTTAAGAGTCTTTCCTCCATATTTGATTCTGTTCCCATTGGAGTAGAGACTCTTGGGCCGTGGGGTTCAAGGGCACAGGCACTAATTAAAGATTTATGTTTACGCCTGATAGATAGTACCGGTGTCCTCAGAGCTGGTGTTTTCCTCGTTTAACGAATAAGTATCGCAATACAGCGAGATAAATTTGTTTTAATTTTCTATTTATCCATTTTTATTAATTCTTATTATTATTACTATGTATGTAAATATTTTAAATACTGTATATTTCTTTGTGGTATGAGATACACATATAATATTTATTCTCCGGAACTAATTATATGAATGGAAAAAAATGTGTTGGATGGATCATTTATCGTGGTAAGATCAGCTCTGAACTGACAATATTTATTTTGAGTAGTGATGAACTTTCAGCACCACTTCAATTTTTAGACTTTCTTTCACGATGTTTATTTTTGTACAAGTTTTAATTGAGCAGTGTTGGCCTAGCGGCTTCAGCGTGCGACTCTCATCCCTGGGGTCGTAGGCTCGATCCCCGGCTGTGCACTTTATTTCTATGTGCGCAACATTCGCTCGAACGGTGAAGGAAAACATCGTGAGGAAACCGACATGTCTTAGACCCAAAAACGGCGTTACAGGCACAGAAGACTGATCTCCTACTTGCCTATTATATTGAAAAATGATCATGAAACAGATTCAGAAATCTAAGGCCCTACACCAAAAGAGGTTGTAGCGCCACTGATTTTTTTTATTGCGTATTTTTTTATAACTTGTCTCTGGACAAAGACACAACATTACGATCTACCTTAAGACTTATGTCCAACACAACTTACATTATTAAGGAGAAGACACTGTTCCCGTGTATTATTATTGATAAATGATAAATGATTTAGTTTCTGTAAGTAGGTTCGTACAAACACTTTTACACGTCAAGCATATTTTTTTTTTAAACTAGATGAGTTCGACGTTTCCTATCTGACTACTCTGAGAAGAAACGCCGAAACAAACTCAGAGGTATTTTTAATTTACTTATATTGGCATAATTTAAAGAAGAACAATTGAATCAATTTATTTTATAATCAACAGCAAATTTTAACGTACCAGCTAAAGCAAAATTTATATTTAAACAACTTAATATTAAAATCATATCTAACGTAAATTTCCCAAATTAGGTCACTTAGTGTGAAAACACTTACTCATCGCGTCGTTAATTTACAACTTTTATCGCTTTCAGACGCTTTACTTTTGAAATTAACTATATTTATCATTATATTATTCAAAGCTGAAGATATTTCTTTATTGACGTTCATAAGTGTACATTGTGTTACCTAAATGAATAAATGATTTTGAGTTTGACTTTGATTTCGTTTGTTTGTTCGTGTACACTTACTGATTTATTAGACAATTTGTCAAGTGTAGTGATCATTTTAATATAATTTTTTTTACTTTCTTCGAAAAATCCAAAAAATCACTTGGATCTTCATACTGTAAATATAAATAAATTATATATATTTTAATACATTTCTAACACAAGGTCAATCAATACAAATAGAAAAAAAAACAAATTTAAAAAGAGGTCCCTGTGGCAGTGTACTTTTAACGCTGGCAGCATTTCTTCGCTGTATTGCGATATTCGTTGAGCGAGGAAAGCACCAGTTCTGGGACCACCGGTACCACCAGGCGCCAACTTAAATCTTAAATTAGCTGTGCACTTGAACCCCACGGCCCAAGAGTCTCTACTCCAAAGGGAACAAAATCGAAGTTGGATATATCAGTTTAATTAATTTTTAACTCTTAATGTATTTTCTATATATATTATAATTTAACTATATTTTTAAAGGTTCCTCGGGAGAGTTTCAAACACATAGTCAAAGCCTGCGAGTGCCCACTTTACTGGAAGATGCCTTTGTTCCTTGCAACGCAGCAGAACCTCCACGCTCCAGTGGATGGCCACAAATTTATAGACTTTTGGAGAGAGTGAGTATTATTATATCTATATATATAAAAGAAAAATGGTCTTCGTTTGAGGCTCCTTTACGCCTAAACCACTGATCGCATCGACATGAAACTACCACCATTCGATGCGAAATAGATGGTTTATGGCTATTTATTTATTAAATTCCAACGTTCCTTCATTTTTTTATTGCTGTTTTACTTTTATGAAAATTTATCCATACGGACTTCACCGCGGAAACATTCGGGGAGGCTTCCTAGAACCTCTAAACGTCAACATCTGTTAAAAACTCGATTTTCGAAATATTTCAAATTTCTTAGCGGGAAGTTAAAAAGAAGAATAATAAAAATATGAAAAAAAATAAAATAATGAAACATAAAATTTATTTTAATTCGTCCAGCAAAGCGGGCGCGAAACGGCTAGTATTTTATATATATAAAATTCTCGTGTCACTATGTGCGTTCTCATGCACCTCCGAAAAGGCTCGACCGATTCTTATGATCTTTCAAACCCCTAAGTGATAAGGGGTCTCCACCCCAAAAAATTTTTTTATTTTTTAGACAATTTTTTTTGTTATTCCTTTTTTTATGATACAGCATACAAAAATACATACAACCCTTAATTTTCATCTACGATCAACCCCTATTTTTATTATTGTAGATATTTTAATTGAACTAAAAAAATGTTTCCCTAGAAATAATATGGGTACATGGCAAAACAAACCATTGCCGGGTCAGCTAGTATTTTCTAAAAGTAACTTGAGCGTTTTTCAAGGCAGTTTTTGCCGCGCACCACCACTATGTGAAAACAGCTGCCCACTGCAGTATTTCCGAACCAATTCGACTTAGGGTGCTTTAAGAAAAGAGTGTGTCAATTCTTAAAAGGCCGGCAACGCATTGCAAGCCGTCTGGCATGGTGTTTGTCCATGGGCGGCGTTATCCCTTAACGTCAGATGAGCCGCCTGCCTCTTATTACAAAAAAGGCTAAGGCTAATTTTGACATAATATGTCAAAAGTCCACTGTATATTTTGTTGGAATCTCAAAGATTTTAAAATAAAACTTGTATTTGTTTAATTCTAGATATTTTACTTAGTTTATTTAAGATCTAGAAATGAGCTTAAAATATAAACCTTCATTGAAATAAAGCGCAATCTAATAAGCTAAAAGCCTTTTAAAAAAAGTAGGCTGCGTCTTGAAAAATCATTCCAATTAAGTCTTATTTTTCACTTAAGATTTTTCTTTTACTTGCTATTTTAATATTTTGTTATAATAACGGACAAAAAGGTACACTGCCAAATGGACCAAACTTTTTAAATTTGTTTTATTTTTTTATCATTATTACTATTAAGAATATTGTAAATGCTCTATATTTGTGTGTTGGAAATAAATAATATACTATCTAGATAGTAATATTATATTTTATAGTGATATTTTTAGCATAAGCATATGTATCCCGAAAAAAAAGCGTTTAAATTGATGTTAGTTATTCCGACTATGTATTTGCGTGTTGTTCCCACGAGAATGTAAGTGCGTGCTCCTGTTTCACCATGCCTCCTGCTGATAGAGGACAAATCTTTGTTTTTAATTTATTTTATTATTATTAATTACTTAAGATGTCATGTGGAACATGATGGTTGCAGCTCTTTACAAACGATGTGTAAAACAAAAAACTTGGCGATTATAAAGAGTGGCGGAGAGTTTATTGCCAGTTCTTCTCCTCCGTTCTACGCCCATGATTTGAGAACTGGCAGTAAATGTAAAATTAACATTATAGTAAAATTATAAGCATTTAATGTATATTTCTTTTTCACACCATCACACAAAACCTGAATTAGGTATTACTATGTACTATATATATTTATGTAAATGTTTGAACCGTTTTGTATATTATATATACCTTATTTGGCTATATATTTATGTTAGCTGTATTGCGTAATAAATAAAACCCTTTTTTTCCAGAATGAGTACAACGTGTCACGACCAGGCTTCAAGATTCGTGTACATCCTAACAAGAGGCAAAAGCAATACTCTCTCGCCAGAGGACTTCGTTCCTTTAGTCCAGGATGTTGTGGATACACATCCCGGCCTTTCCTTCTTGAAGGAAGCCACGGAGTTCCACTCGAGATATGTTCATACTGTAAGTAATTCTAAAAGTAGACCAGAATTAGGAATATATTAGAGCCAGGACCAGTTCTGGAGTAAATCAATATTTTTTTTGGCATTTGCGAATCTTTGATGATCACTTTCCCAGCGGCTTAATCCCCTTGCATTGTGGGGTCTCCCTGCATCTTCTACCGCATTTACCATTGAGACAGCTGAGTTTCATCAATCATCGGGGCAGAATCTGAGACGTTTTTTAAGGCAGTTTTTACCTGTTATGTTCCCAGTTTTTTCTATTAAAATAAAATTTCTTTTGTATTTCTGTCACTATCACTGTGAGAATAGAAAATAACTACAACAATAGGTAATAATAATTTCGGAAGATCGGTGAAAGAATAGATCTAAAAACATCTAGGCTTACGGCGCCACAGTTTACAGAAATCAGTATAGGAAAACTAATCTTGTAAGATTCTTTTAAGAACTAATCTTTTAAGATTAGTTTAGCAAGATAATAAAATTTAAGTCTTCCCTCCAACTCCGATTTTGTTCCCTTTGGAGTAGAGGCTCTTGGGACATGGGGTTCAAGTGCACAGGTGCTAATTAAAGGTTTAAGTTGGTGCCTGGTAGATAGTACCGGTGACCCCAGAGCTGGTGCATTCCTTAACGAATAAGTATCGCAATACAGCGAGGGAATGCTGCCAGCGTTAAGGGTACACTGCCACAGGGACCAAACTTTTTAATTTTATTTTTATTATTGTTATTACTACTATGCAGGTTAAGAAAATTGTACCTAAATACTATATATATATATATATATATATATTTGATTGTTATGTTTAAGTTTTAATTAACGATTTTAATTTAAATAGTAAATTAGCAAGCACAGAGCACATTACAATGTAGAGTAGGTGACACATTGTTGCACAGTATAAAAGATTTCAACAATGCTTCTGTCGGGAAAATGTAAAATTTCCAGTTTCTGCATATTTAAAACACGTTTTCATTTGTTAGCTTTACGCTTTGGTATTAATTTGTATGGTTTTTTTATAGTTATTCAGAGTTAAGTAGCAGTCTTTTTAACGAACAGACGGCAAACGGATTGTCACTTGATATTAATTGATACCGCCCATGGACACTTAATGCCAGAACGCTCGCGGGTGCCGGCTTTTTAAGATTTGTTACGCTCTTTTCGTGAAGGACCCTACGTAGAATTGGTTCGGAAATACTTCAGTGGTCAGCTGGTTCCACATAGTGCGCGGCAAAAACCTAATCCCTTATCTAATTTGTATTGTATAAGGGTGCGTCCACATCTGGCGAATATCCCGCGAATGTGCAGCTCGCGAGCTGTACGCGTGCCTTTTTATTCGTACGCCGCTCCTGCGCCGCCCGCGTGCAGTTCGCGCGCAACCTAAGCGACGTACGCGATCAGCGCGCGGGCCGGGCGGCGCGCTAGTGGCTCGCGTCTTCCTTCCGTCCACGCCAGTAAACGGAACTGTAAGCGCGTGAATTGAGTGCTCGCAGTTCGCGCGCCTTATACGAGCCTTGCATGAGTTGCGTTAAAGAGGCGCATATAACCATTGCCGTGACTGCACGCACGCAGCTCGCAAATGGCTCGCGAACTGCACATTCGCGGTGCATTCACCAGATGTGGACGCACCTTAATATATTGTATCTCACTAAGGTTTGCTTGTCTTAAAAATTATTAAATTGTTTATGTTCTATTTAAATCTGTGTCGTAAGAACTGTACCTCAAGAGCTATTCGTATGAAACCATTAATAAACTATACAACCAACCTTGGGTATTTTACGCACAAAAGAGATATATATCAATACTGTATACAGCTTGCTAGCCAGTGGACTGTGAAACGTGTATTGAAATGTATATGTACCTAGCTGCCCCCGAGAACTTCCTTCCCTTTAATATTTTACTTAGCCTAGCTTTTTAGTACATACCAACATGGAACATTTAACTATGCTACCCTATAGAGACTGTTCTCTATTCTGTAATAAAAACTGATTCAAGATTGTGGGGTTTTTTTCAAGATGTCGGGCAAACTCTCCACGATAATTGAGGACTTAAAAGAGTCTTCGCCACTTTGAGCGGAAGCGAGAAATGAATTCTTATTCAATATATTATTATCATTCAGAGCAATAACATTTCTTATTGTGTCTCAAACGATATCTTAACTACCTATACTTCTATTTAGATATTATTCTCGTGAGCTGTCTCCGTATACCTTCTTAGAACAACCACGTGAGCCGTGTCAGTTGGTCCAAATTAAATCTTAAGAAATATTCAAATTCAAATTCAAAAATCATTTATTCACGTAGGTAACACAATGTACACTTGTGATTCGTCATTAAAGAAATAAATATTAATGCTTCTAATTTTACATTTACTGCCAGTTCTCAAATCAAGGGCGTAGAACGGATGAGAAGAACTGGCAATAAACTCTCCACCACTCTTTTTAATCGCCATGTTTTTTTACACAACGTTTGTAAGGAGCTGTAACCATTACACCATGTTCCACATGACATCTTAAGTAATTAATATTAATAAAATAAATTAAAATCAAAGATCTATCAGCAGGAGGCATGGTGAAATAGGAGCACGCACTTACATTCTCGTGGGAACAACACGCAAACACATAGTCGAAATAATTAACATCACCGCATACACGAATTCAAGTACGACCAGTCACCACAAGTAGCACCCGTTCACGAGTATGACGCATGGCCAGCCATCGGCCCCCTCGCCATATTTTAGGGAGAGAGACAACCCGACGCATGGACGCCGCCACAAGCAATGACATTTAAGCGAGCATGACGATCCTTGAAATGTGAACTTGGCTACATAAGAAAATAATAATAATACTGAAGTAATAATAAAAGCTGCTTTATATATCCAATCAATACAATTGTTAACGATATACAGTTTTTTCTTGTTACTCTGTACCATTGATCGGAACCCCTTCTCGGGTATTTCTCCATTCGCTTTCTGCATTTTTATTTGAACAAATAAAAATGCGATAAATGTCAAGTAGACATTGTAATTTTTTTTAATTGCGCCATCTATGTTTAGTATTAGCTACCTTAACACATAACAGAGACATCTGTTTGGAATTATTGTAAAAAGAAAAGTTCATTATTGAATGTAGTCGGCATAGCAATTTTGTAACAATTTTTAAGCTATCGGGGAATATGCTTAGGAGTATTAAGAATCCATAGCGCTAAATACCCTGCATCACCCCACACATGCACCGTCACGTACATACCCACACTTTCACACCATCACCCAACGGCCGAATTAGGTATTACTTAGTTAAATAGCCAGCTTTCTATTTAATTATGTCAATTGTATTATATTTCTGTATATGCAACGAAGTGTTTATAAATCTATAATATAAAAATGAATCGCAAAATGTGTTGGTAAGCGCATAACTCAACAACGCCTGGACTAATTTGGCCAATTCTTTTTTTATAATATTCCTTGAAGTACAAGGATGATTCTTACGAAGAGAAAAATTAAAAATATTGAGTGAAAAAGTCTAAAAACAACAGTTTTCTATATTCCCATACATAATATTCATAATAATACTTAAAAGTCAATTTAAACTTTAATACCATATCATAATGTTCAAGTGTTAGTGGAGGGGTTTCGGGAAGGTACATTTTTATTTATTGACATAATGTTTTTGTTGTCTTATCAACTTTCTTTTTTTTGTCTTACTAGCTAAACCGGTGTCCCGAATAGCAGAATAAGTATTAAAAAAATAAAGAATCGACTGTTAGGCGGTACGATGTTCGCCAGGCCAGCTAGTAAAAAATAAATGTGTTTAATATTTTTCTAATATAATAATTGTTATAATATATTTAAGTTATTAAGTACAAAATGAATAAATAATTGAAACGCAAACATATTAAAAACTAATTTTGTTTAACTTCAGGTGATCGCCAGGATATTCTACTGCGTGAACAGATCGTGGTCTGGCAGGATATCGATCCCAGAACTCAGAAGGTCCAACTTCCTACAAGTCCTCCAGCTTCTAGAGGATGAAGAGGACATCAACCAAGTTACACAATATTTTAGGTATTTCTTTGGAGAATTAGGTTCTAATAAAACTGTCCAAACATACAAAGGGAAATAAAAAGTTATATCACCAGCGGAATGTTACAACTTTGCACCAATAGATGGCGTTAATATGGTTTAAATTAATGAATGTCAAATTGTTAGCTGTCATCGTGATGTCGCAGTCTCTTGAACACTATTTAATCACAATATTTTTTTTGTGATATAGAAAATACAAATATGTTCTATATTGTGTGCAAACAACTTAAAATTAAGGCCGTCTTGCGAGCCCTCGAGCATTAAGTTTCCATGGGTACTTACTTAACATCAAGATTCTGTTCATCGAAATCAGTTCAGTAATTTTTGAGATATTTGAACACACTTTTGATTATTTGAATTTTAGTAGCGTCGGGACGTGACGACCCCATCGCCCACTGGTGAAATAACCTGTGACAGAGGTTATTTCATCAGCGCAATCAGTCAACCCCTTCCTAGTGGGAGTGCCATGCTGTTGCCTTCGGGCTTCAGCCAAATGGGCAGGCACGACCGGGGCAGTACCACTGAAAACCGGCGTGAAGTGATGCAATAAGTTCGCCTTATTGTACTCGCGTTTCGTGCGGTGGAGAATCCCCCTCTGGGCGTCCAACACCGGGACACTCTGCGCCCGGTGGTGGACGCACAGGCTGCCCTTCGTATTTTGGGGGGGGGCAATTCTGCGCTCGGTAAAAACAACATTAATCGTTCTCGGGGCAAACGGAGCAATTCAACTAAGGCACCCCCGTCCACACTCGCCGTGGACTTCACAAATGTTAGGGGGCTCAATTCCAACATCAACGCTGTCCACTACCACTTAGAGACTGCGAAGCCGGCCTTGCTCTTTCTTACCGAGACTCAGATATCCCCCCGGCTGATACTTCCTACCTCTCCTAAACTGATCGACTCATTGAGCACATCCAAATGGCTACAGATTCCCTGCTCGAAAGGGTCGCTGAAATCGTGATACTTGGCGATTTTAACGCCCACCATGCCGAATGGCTCCGCTCAGAAACCACCGATCATGCGGGAAGATCCTTTCACGACTTTGCTTTGGCTTACGACTTGACGCAAATGGTCCCTGCGATTACGCGAATACCAGATGTGGATGGTCATAAACCCTCTTTGTTGGACCTTCTGCTGACTTCACATCCGGAGAGCTACCAAGTCTCTGTTGAACCGCCATTGGGTTCATCAGATCATTGTGTGGTCCGGAGCATTGTGCCGTTCACGCGCCCTCTTCGGCCTAGCTTCACGGGCTGTCGCCGCGTGTGGCACTATAAGTCAGCAGATTGGGATGGGATGCGGTCTTTTTTGCGTCCTACCCTTGGGGGCCCATTTGCTTTTCGTCGAGTACTCCAGATGCCGTCGCTGACTCTGTCGCCGAGGTGGTCCTGCAGGGTATGGAACTTTTTATTCCATTCTCTGCGGTGCCGGTCGGTGGCAAGTCCCAGCCTTGGTTTAGGCGTTCTTGCAAAGCGGCTTTGCGCCGTAAGCGTGAATGCTTTAAAGCCTGGGCAGAAGCGGTGACATCCTGTGATGTGACTATCGGCGAACGTAAAAAAGCATACAATTCAGCCTCCAGGTCCTTCAAGCGAGAAATCGCTAAAGCAAAGTCAGAGCACATTGCCAGATTTGGTGAGAAATTGGCCCACCTCCCTTCGGGAACTAGAGCCTTCTGGTCTCTTGCCAAAGCTGTCCAAGGGAATTTCTGTCAGCCCTCAATTCCACCACTGCATAGGGAGGATGACTCACTGGCCCATACCGCGAAAGAGAAGGCCGATCTTCTAGGCTGTCTCTTTGCGTCGAACTCCACTTTGGATGATCAAGGGAATGAACCACCGACATTATTGCGGTGTAATACTACGATGCCCGAAGTTATATTCCGGCAACGTGCTATCCGTAAAGCTTTGTCTTCCTTGGACATCCATAAGTCGAGCGGGCCTGATGGCATCCCTCCAATTGTGCTGCGTACTTGTGCTCCTGAGTTGGCTCCGGTCCTAACGCGCCTTTTCCGGTACCTTTACACGCTCGGCACTGTTCCGAAGTGCTGGAAGATCGCTTCGATACATCCGATCCCTAAAAAAGGCGATCGCTCTGATCCGTCCAACTATCGCCCAATAGCTATAACCTCCTTGTTCTCCAAAATAATGGAAACCATTATTAACAGCCAGCTCCTGAGGTATCTAGAGGGCCACCAGCTGATTAGCGATTCTCAGTACGGCTTTCGTCGTGGTCGCTCAGCTGGTGACCTCCTTGTATACCTTACACATAGGTGGGCAGAGGCAATTGAGTCCAAGGGGAGGCGCTGGCGGTAAGTTTGGACATAGCGAAAGCCTTCGATCGGGTGTGGCACAGAGCACTGCTCTCGAAGCTTCCAGCCTATGGGCTCCCTGAGAAACTATGCAACTGGATTTCCAGCTTTCTCGCTGATCGGAGCATCAAAGTCGTCATCGACGGAGCATGCTCCGACCTGAAACCTGTGAATGCTGGTGTCCCACAAGGCTGTGTCCTATCCCCGACCCTGTTTATTCTGCATATCAATGATATGTTGCAGCTTAGCAACATTCATTGCTATGCGGACGACAGCACTGGGGATACTTTTTACACTGGCCGGGCAGGTATTTCTCGGGCTGTTGTCGATGAGTACCAGAACAAACTTGTGTCTGAAGTCGAAACTCTTCTACGTGGAGTCTCGGACTGGGGTAGACTAAATCTAGTCCAATTTAACCCCAAGAAGACACAAGTATGCGCGTTTTCCGCAAAAAAAAACTCCCTTTGTCGCTACTCCCCTCTTTGAAGACACTCTCCTTAAAGCCTCAGCTAGCATCGGAATACTGGGCGTTGACATATCGAATAACGTTCAGTTTCGCGGTCATCTGGAAGGAAAGGCTAAATTAGCCTCCAAAAAGCTTGGTGTGCTCAGCAAGGCGAGACGGTACTTCACTCCGGGCCACCGCTTGCAACTATATAAAGCGCAAATTCGGCCCCATATGGAGTACTGCTCTCACCTCTGGGCGGGAGCTCCCCAGTACCAGCTCCTTCCACTTGACCGTATTCAACGAAGAGCGGTTCGAATCGTCGACGACCAGTCACTTTCCGTGCGGCTTGATCCCTTGGCGTTGCGTAGAGATGTGGGATCTCTCTGCATCTTCTACCGCATTTACCATGGAGAGTGTTCAGAGGAGTTGTTCGGTCTAATACCTGCAGCTGAGTTTCTTCAACGGACGTCAAGGCAAAATACCATCCGTATCACCTCGACGTCCGTCGTTCCACAACAGAGAGTTTTCTAAGGCAGTTTTTGCCGCGCACCACCACTATGTGGAACCAGCTGCCCACAGAAGTATTTCCGAACCAATTCGACTTAGGGTCCTTCAAGAAAAGAGCGTACCAATTCTTGAAAGGCCGGCAACGCACTTGCAAGCCTTCTGGCATTGTGAGTGTCCATGGGCGGCGGTGTCACTTAACATCACGTGAGCCTCCTGCCCGTTTGCCTCCTATTACATAAAAATAAAAAAAAGTTGCTTTTTTTAAGTGAAACTTCTATAGGCGTATGACGGTAAAATTTACGGAACGTCACGAAGATGTGCAGCGTTTTTGTCGAAGAAAAGGGAAAGAGCGATTGAGAGAGTGTGAGAAGGGCGAATTACCTGATAGAAATTCTATTTTCATACATTCTTTTTACGAAATTTTCGTAAAAGTTTTGAAAAATTTGTATTTTATATTTTATGCATCATAATTTATTGAAATCTCAAATTACGAATTGTAAATTAAAATGTTACGTGTTTTTATTATCGAAGAAATAAATTAAAAAAATTAAATTCATTAAATTCCTAAAATATCTTCCTTTTTCCCTCCCTCTTAGTCTCGGCAATTAAAGTTTTAGATTTGTATAAATATGAACAAGACTTAAAAATTAGTTTGCCAAAGAAGTTTCACTTCTGACATGTGTACTTTGTACGCACATGTTTTTATTACTTGGCATAACAGAGCTCAAGTCAAGTTCGCTAGCTAATTGTTTTCCTCTTATACATTCCAGCTATGAGCACTTCTACGTGATCTACTGCAAGTTCTGGGAGCTGGACAAAGACCACGACCTCTTCATCGACAAACACGACCTCGCCAGGCACAACGACCATGGTAACTACTTCGTTAAACGTAAATTAATCAATAAAGCTCTTTATAAATTTGACGAAAAAATTTAAATGATCCTAATCCTTGGGATTGATTTGCTCCAGTTCAAACAATTTGAATGACAATACTTGGCGATTAAAAAGAGTGGCGGAGAGTTTCTTGGCAGTTCTTCTTGCCTTTACGCCCTGGTAGTAATTAGTAAATTTAGAATCAATTTAACATATTTTCTGTTGACGTTCATAAGTGTACTTGGTTGGTATGAATAAAGTTATTTTGAGTTTGACAAGTAGGTGATCAGCCTCCTGTGCCTGATAGACGTTGATTTTTGTGTTTTGCCAGGTTTCTCTGCATACGACCTCAGTGTTAAGGTGCTCCGCGAATAAATAATCTTCATCATACAATTCCAGCTCTCTCCAGCCGCATGATAGAGCGTGTACTCTCTGGGTGCGTCACGCGTGGCAACCAGAACCGCCTGACCCCCCGCGGTGAGCCACGCATGTCCTACACCGAGTTCGTGTGGTTCCTACTCGCTGAAGAGGACAAAAGCCATCCCACGGCCATCGAGTATTGGTTTAGGTGAGTAAAATCCTTTTTAAATGTCCAAAAGAACTTTGCCTCCAACTTAGATTTGGTTCCCTTTGTCCCTCTTGGGCCGTGGGGTTCAAGTGCACAGCTAATTAAAGATTTAAGGTGGTGCCTGGTGGTACCGATGGCCTTAGAGCTGGTGCTTTCCTCAACGAATAAGTGTCGCAATACAGCGAGGATAAACCAGCATTAAAGGCACAAATTTAAGTTTTCCATTTTTAATTTACATATAAATCTCACTAACACTTTATTTTATTAGTTTACAAATGAATTATGATTATATATTTAAAAAGCCACACTATCAGTATATACACATTATAGAATAATACATTAAAAAACACATAGTATACATAATATACAACAACACACGATACTATAATATTTTGGTAATAAACACGACTCTGAAATACCGACTCCGACACTACGCCATGACAGATAATGCAACTTGTCGATAAAACAGAGCAAGCGCCAACTAGTGGCCCAAACTGTTTTACCGACGTTTGAACAGATATTCAGGGTGTCGGTTTTTTGTAAAAATTTACTCACATCATTTTTGCCTAACGCGCCAAAGGAAGTATAACTTTAAAAATCCTAATTAAGCATCTACTTTCGAGAGAAATGAGAGGTGGCATGTTTTAAGGCAGTTTTACCTCGCGTGAACCTCGTTCAGCTATTATTTTAGTAGCCTTGAACTTAAGTGAAAAGTAAATGTGATATATTATCATTGATAAGCGTAATTATGAAATAATTTACTTAAATGAGTTATAAAATAATAGATTTAAGCGTGTATTTACAATATTCTTAACCTACATAGTGTAAAAATAATTAAAATATATAATTAATAAATTAAAGCAATTTAAAAAGTTTGGTCACTTGTGCACCTTTAAATTCAGGCTTCCAATTTTATTCATAGCGAAGTTATAGAGGGCCGAAAATGGCCTGAACTTCGAGAAAAGGTTCGGCTTCTATGATCAACATGGCGGGCGCACTGCCGGCCCATAGATAAAAAGTTATATGCCAACTATGTCATAGACATACGGAAATCTTTCGTCTCTTTCTGTCAAATTGTGGATTTCTTTCTGGTCGAGGATCCCTTCCTTTATGTCGGTGAAACCACACCTTGCTTCTTCCATTCGTTTCTCATAACAATTTCTCTTCTCATCTTATAATAAGAACAGGTGGATAAGATATTCCAGGATCCTGAGACAAATGTAAGAGTTTGGAAGAGGCTTTCATTCCGACGGAGGTTGTGCACTAATATTGAAAATAATACTTACAAACTTAATGTTATCCTGTCTGTATGTATAGGCTGGCGGGTTCACAGTACTCACACTAATGCAATTTCACATACAGTATGTTTCAAAATATGATTTTTTTGCCATGCTATACATTTTAGTCCACTCATACACGACGGACAGTCTATTCATGATGTATTTATGATTGTATTTCAGTTTGACATCACGTCTCGCGGTTATTCACAGACACTACACAAGCACAAAGTGTAAATGTGTTGAAGCCGCCAGCTTTAGTTAACATACCTATATATAGTACACGAATATAGGCTTTTCTATCCCAGGCTCCTGATATAGATATTCCGGAAGTCTGTTACTTACCAGTTACATTTTAATATGTACACGCATTAGAAGTTATGTTATTATTCTTTGGCGTAACAAGATAAAAATCTTTTCAACATTTTTATTCTACGTTTGTACTACACTAACAATAGAAAAAAGGTATTTAATACATTGAAAGTTTTATTATAACGCATTATCTAGTTGAACAAAGTTTATTTAAGTATCACAAAAACATCTACATAAAGAAACGAACATTTTTCATTATAGCATGCAACTTATATTGATATTTACTATTTAATTCACGTCCATTGGTTGGAGTTCATTAGATGTGAGTTACAAGAGGCTTATGACAGCTAAAGTATGATACAAATATTCTTGTGGGACATCGTAAAAATACGGCATCAATAGTTGTAGAAAAAAAAACTAAACTAAAATGTTGACTATAGCCAACTTCAGGGTGTCGGTTTTTTGTGACGGGTGCGCGCGCATCGTAAATATTTACTCACATAATTGTTACCTAACGTGCCTAATGAAGTATAACTTAAAAAAAATTATCTTTGCTTATTTATAAATAAATATGGTAATCCCCAGATGTATGGACCTCGACGGAGATGGCTTCATCTCTATGTATGAGCTGGAGTACTTCTACGAGGAGCAGATGCAGAGGATGGAGGCAATAGGAATCGAAACTCTTCCCTACAATGATTGTTTATGTCAGGTAAAGGAATTATACAGGAATGCTATAGTGTTTGATCTGTTTGTCCACAAATTAGCATAACAGCATAATGCTGAGCCAGGGCCAATTACAACCACAGCACACACGCATTACACACTTGAACGAAGCGAATGGGAATTTTAAGCTATTGCATAGATTTTATCGCGGGCTTTGAGCGCGGCGACCGAATCAAGAAATTCCGTAACGAAAAAAACCTAACACACGATGACGTAATATACAGGACAGAACGCATACTGCGCATTCCCATCTCTCTGACGAGATCGGTGACGTAGCGTGAGCGCGGCCGGTGCAGCCGGTACGCGTTAGAGTGAGACAGACTATATCGGCGTTTTAGTCTGAGTCTGGTAGAGTGGTAGATTGAAATAATATCAAAGAAAAACAAATACTGTACCGCGGCAGTCCCGAGTGCCACACGTTTGTTTATTTTATTTTTTTCTTTGATTATTGTTATTTTGTGTGGTTATGTTTGTGTGTTTTTGTTAGTAATAAATGTTTTGTCTATGTCTAATTCTGGGGTCGGGGGGGCCCACAATTATTCCAATGAATATGTACGCATTTAATAAATACAGTAAAGTCTTTAGACCCAAAAAGTCTTGCCTATTAAGAAAATGATCAGTATAAACCTTTGCATATGTAACGTTTCAGATGCTGGATATGGTTCATCCAGCTCAGCAGGGCAAGATCACGTTAACCGACTTGAAGAAATGTAAGCTCACTCCGATCTTCTTCGACACATTCTTCAACCTGGAGAAGTACTTGGACCACGAGCAGCGGGACCCCTTCGCCACCCAACGGGACTCTGATTCAGAGGTATTTAACCAAGTACAATAATAAAGGAATGCTTTCATTTATCTTCTCTTCTCTTCTTCTTCTTCTCTTGTAATCTTACATTAAATAACTTAGAAAGAAACTTAGAAAGAAAAGCCGTCAAGAAATAAACGAATAAATAAAAATAAAAAACAATATTATGCTACCAACATTGCCATATACTTAGTATATGAACGTTTATTAGAAAGTAGAATTAAATTGTACAACTACTCGTAAGTGCCTGAATATTTCCCGAAGAGAAATAATATCAATGTAATTAATTATTTTAAGGCAAGGCCTTTATACTGTGGGAGAGTATTTAAACCATAAAAATATTATTTTGACATTTGAATGCCTATTTTTATCTGAATGTACCACTTACTTAGCAAATAAACGGTTTATTTTAATATTTAATAACTATATAAACTTTTTATTTAGTCATTTTTTAAAGATAATTGTTTAAAAAACTTTTCTTATCCAAATCCGTATTCATTTTGCGTTCGGTTCCACTTAATTACGTTCAGAACAAATAAATTAAATTATAAGAATATAGATTGCTTTTTTTTATTTATTAAATTTTAATTATTTTAATTATTACTATGTTAATAAAATTGTAAATAGTGTATATTTGAATGTTATGATTACTATTTAATATGTTTCTTAAAAAATTATATAATCACGTGTTTGTGGTTAAATTATCCTCATTTATTTGCATAATGTAACGACAATAAATTTTATTTAATTAAATTACAGATTTCCGAATGGGATCGCTTCGCAGCTGAAGAATACGAATTACTCGTAGCCGAAGAGGGAGGCAGCGATGCGCAGGATCAAATGTATGCATTTTTAAGTCTTTAATGAGGGCCTTGAGATAAAAACCTCTTTCTGTATATACCAGCGATTTTATTTGTTCCACGCAAAATATCTATTTGTCTAAAAATCCACACGTGATAATCGTGTGTAAATAACTTATCAATATAATAATGTAGTATTTACTACACACATTGCGTTTGCGTACTTATGTATACGCCAGATGGTTATTTCCTCATAGTTAACTATTCTAATTAGCGTATAGTTTCTACTTAAGTTTTTTCGTTTCACGTATAGAAGTTGGTTTTTATGTCAGGACTCTTTATATATAATATGACCTTTAGCAATCCTTTCTATATACAATTAATACAATATAAAATATGCAGTTTACTTCAAATTGCCATTTATTGCGAACTTTAGTAGATTTTTAAATTTAGCCTAAAATTCCCTATATATTTGTATTTTCATATATTTTTGGTTGCCCACTTAGTTTATTTATATTTATTTTATGTTCTTCGGACCTATTCGACATTTCTTTCATCAGGGAGGGAGATAGAAGTGGCTATGATAGGGTAAGATTGTGTTTATGAAGTGCCGTGTATTGTGACATATTGACGCCTTGAAATGTACAATATCATCCATAAAGGAATGCTTAATGAGACGTACACCCATTCATACCAAGTACATGAAACATCAAGCAATTTTTAATAATTCATTCTACTTCCTGTCTTGTCCTGTATCCATTCAACTTTTAACACAAGTTTACAGTTACTTGTAATTGAAAAGCTAATTGTAAAGAAATCGGTCGAAACCTCAATCCTAACTCCTCAACGAAATCTGTAATTTAACAATTTAGGTATTCCTATATCGATGATCATTATAATATTATGGCTTCCTCAACCTTTTAAGAATTGCACTGCAATAACTGCAGCACTGAGACTTGCTTGAAATATTGTCTGCCTTACTGATGAAATATCCTTGTATATACCAGTTACGCTTTTGTTTGTAACGGCAGGCATGAAGCACTAACCGATGGACTTGCAGTTTGCATTCAGTTATTAAATAATCAATGTCTAATTAAACCCGTCAATTCCAGCTCATACGATGAAACGGATGACGACTGTCTGTCGCCGAATATTGACGACGTTCGCACTGAAGTAATAGAAGATTCGAGCGTGGAAGACTCAACCCTCAGCGACAGCATCTCCAATCCTCGGGGGAAGGAGGCCGGGCGACCTTCGGGCTACGTCAACCTGAGCACAATCTACGCCCTGGGTACTCCGGACCGATGGGCCAAGACGAACGTCCCGGAACGAAAGACAGAGAAACCCATCCCACCGGAAAAACCGGTCAGCCTAATGATGATGAACGGGAAGATGGACAGGTTCAACAACTTAAACAATAGTTTTCTATACTCCCAAATGTTAAATCCGAGAGCGAAAGACCCGCCGTCTTACACCGCGGCCACCGGTGGCTCGGACAAAGAGGCGATGAATATCGCGTCCCCGAAGAGATCGCCCACGAGCCCGGTCAACGGAATCGGCAAGATCTCGGACAACTACGAACGAGCCGTCGCAGAGAGACTGAGTCCTCAACGGGAGATCTCCAGACTGAACCGAAGCGTCTTCAGAAAAGTGAACACCGGCATCGTGGCCAGCAAAGTGAAGAAAACCGGTTCGCGGCGCGACGAAGAGGACGAAGACTACGCGCGTGACAGTGACGAGTGCTCAATATAGAGTGAACCAAAGACTTGTACGTTAGAGAATTTAGCGTATCCCGAGGTACGTGCCTTGTTCGTTGGATATTAGGAAGTAGATTTAGACGTAGAACGGTGTGTTTTAACATCGCGTTGTTAGGTCAAGTATTATTCGGTATTCAATTTAGTACGCATATGCATTCATAAACGAACGTAGACAGTGCTAATTGTGATATAGACGGAAGTTTGGTTGGGAGTAGAAAATTGTTTAGTTTATGGCCCCTCTTTGTATAGTACGCAAAATAAAAACAGAGCTTAGCAGCTGAACGATTGCTGCAAAATATTTTGTACAGAAGGTATATCAAGATTAGCAGCAGTATTTTGAAAATGTTCATATTAGATTAATCAGATACTAATGCAGAGATGTCTTCCGAAGTCGCGCTAACTGAGTGCCCTGCGCTGTTGTCAATTGTCAACTGTCACTGTTTGTGTAAGTTAGCATGACATTGAGAGACAACCATCCTTGAATGTCTATGTTAAACTATGTCAAGCTCTATCTTTCAAAAGTCAATTGCCAAGTCAACTGTCAAGTTTAAGTTAGCGTGACTTTGAAGGACACATCTCTACTTGACTGTCTACGTTAGTGTAAGAATAAAAAATCTCTGCTTTAAAAACGTCGGCCTCCACAATCCGTCTCAAATCATTCATATCACAGCTCCATCCATAGCGGCATAGATTCCCATCAATCGCTTTAAGCATACTAAAATATTAATAAACACGCACAGATGTGACTTAGAATAGTATAGGTAAATATTTTTATATCAATTCCAAAGGACAAATGAAAACTCGTAGAAAAATTTCTTCAAAATAATGAATTATATTAGTTAACCCGAGTTAAATTGGTTAACCAATGATTTTACTTTTCAGAATGGTTATCTTAACTTTTAAAGTTTTACCTTAATGTTAAGCAAAGGGGTTTAAATATGCTAGGCATAAGGTTAGAATTTTTTTGAAAGAATTATATTTTAAACGTTTTTATTGGGTAATGCGACGAAAAAGTACTGTTGAGTTTGAAAAAGATTATTCAGTGTTTTGAGTCACTACAAAACTACATTGTTTAAATAATAACAAAACAACAATTTCGCAAATAAGTACCTTATATTATAAATCATTATAAAAATATTATATTCAGTTTTAAGAAGCACAGCTATCTAAAAGTTTTTGAAATTTTGAATTCTTTAGGGCGTTCAAATCGCGCGACTAGACATTGTGGTATTTTCATACAACTGTTCACATGAGCGCGCGTTAACGCGGCGCTCAGAGAAAAAGTCTCTAGACGCAGGTGATCACGCGTTGACGCGCGCTTTGATATTAATGTAATGTCCGTTTGCTGTTCAGTTGAGTGCGCGCTTTCATCGCGGTCGCATGTAATTTTGTTAATTTTCGTAATTATATTTATAACAAACTGGGTCTATTTTTCAAAATTGGATGAACCCAATGTGTACGTTTTCTTTTTCTATATTTTTCTTTATAATATAACCACAAAATAATAGCCTCTTCCACGTTCAATTTCTACGTTCTACCGAACTAGACTGACGAGTACTCTCGCAACGCGCATTAGCGCTAATCATCTGAACTCTCATCAAATATGATCGCGCGTTACATGTGAACATAGCCTTATATTTAAGTCTACTTTTACATCCAGATAATAAACCTTAATATTACTAAACATACTAGATGGCACTGTGTGAATATAAAAACGCGTTATTATGTCACCGAAGCCACGTGTTATAAATATTTTCAGAGTTTTGAAAGTTGCCCCATATTTAAATCTCTTTGAAATTATAGTTTGTACATTGCTTTGAACATAACAAGCAGCTGTATATATGCTTTAACATCGCTAGTTTTACAATTTTTATCTAGTCTACAGGGTGCTTAACTGTTTGTTTGAATATTTACCATATTTAACTCAGCGTATTCGTATTGGGATCAAAAGCATTGAAGGAACGAGTTCCGTTGATTCATATTTAGTTTTATTTACGGAGTAACAATACGTTACTGTCAAGTTATTTTTTTCTTTTTTAGGACGTTCATAGATATTATTAATTTACAAAATGTCAACGGGGAATGTCAGTTACAACTGTTACGGCCTTTTTATAAAACATAGACTAAAGAGTACCGTGATAACCATTGCTTTTACATGGAACATGACAAAAATATTAAGTCAAGTTTTATAATACATTTAATCATAATCGTAATTGACAGATTTCAATTATGTAAACTACTATTGTCAATAGTAATTGACAATTTGGAATAAGTATATTGTGTTTATGTATATATATTTCTAATTAACTGCTACAGCCAAAGAATGGTATGTATCGAATTATGTAACACTGTCATTATATTCTTGCATTAGCATTTTTAGTGAGTTTAGATTTCATAAGCCGATGAAATTGTCACAATGTTACTTTTAGTCTTGACAGTATGTCAAATTTTGACAACTTATTTTCATAGATTGCGTGATAGACAAGTTTGCGCGGGATGATAGAATAGTGAATGAACAAAATGATTTTGCCCACACGCAGATATGACGCGCTCTCAGGTTGTAATTAAATATTTGTTTTATCTGTGACTCAAAGTTGCAGTGACGATCTTTACCAATTATTAACCAAAAAAGCTTTTGTTCACATTTTAACAAATTTTATAAATATGTTGTTTATTGAAGTTGACTTAGAATGTAAGTTGTGTGTTTGTATGTTTGTTTCCGTATGTTGTGCGAAACTACGCATTTACTAATAAATTTGTGTGTGAATTGTAGTTATGTGGGAAAGTGTTTATTATTGTTACTAGGACAACCTGTATCTTCCATTAATAACCCCAATTATTTAGTGCCATTGTATCACTTTTGTAAAACAAATTTATCTTTAAAATTCTTACTAATTAATGAGGCGTAAGTATCACTAATGCATTTTCACAAGCCTAACCTTAGCAGAAACACACACAACCATAGATTGTCTTGATTGTGAGCATTTTTTCTGATGTCATGAAGTTTTAATACACATTTTTACATTTCAATTCCATATTGTTCAAGCTAAGGGTGAAGGAAATTGTCGTATTTTGACATACAGTTAATACATTTGTCATGTTTGTCAAAAATGTTAGAAATTAAAGAAATACTGTTATGTTTGTATGTTGAAAATAAGCAATATTTGCGAATTAAAATTAATTCTAGGAATGGAAATGGGTTTGTTTTTTCTTTATTAGTTTCCTATTAGCGATAACTGAGGAAATAATGTATATTAATTACCATTTTTTAAGTATTGTTAACCAATTTGTATGGATTGTCAGTAGTTAAGTCTGTATGATAATTTATTTAGTGTTGTTTTTCTAGGCATAAAGAAACTTATATTCCTATATGTCATATTTTAAGTGCAATTTTAGGTCTTGACAAAAATTATATTGCAATTACATGTGAATAAATTTGTTTGAAATTTCTGAAAACGCTAGAAGTGATGTTAACATAAATAATAGGCACTATGGAATGACAGAACTTATATTAATATAGTCAAATAAGAATAATAAAACATAACAGTTACAGTAATGAATTATCTAAGATGTTTTATTTTAGATCTAAGTAAGAATTTATCCTTTTAATTTAACTAATCAATCACGTGACATATTTTAATTCTATCGTCGATAGCAGGTCGCAGTTCTCCTATCATACCACTGTCTAGGTATTTGGCACAGATAATAAAAAGTGTCAACATATAAGTAACATTGTCCAACAATTAGGAAAATTGAAAGATCTCACAAGAAATAATATATTTCAGATATACCAAGAAAACATGCATGACAATATGATATGACAATAACATGCTTGATGCTAGTTCCAGCAATCAATGTAGAACGTTACCATGCGGGGCGGGGATCGAATTGCGCGTTATTGTTAATATTATTTTCGACTTTCCAGTACTTTACGCCACATAATGGTAACTTTTTGGTATACATATAAAGAGTCACTGGGTGGTCACGAAACGTTTTACCGGCCGCGCTTACGCTACGTCACCGATCTCGTCAGAGAGATGTGAATACGCAGTATGCGTTCTGTCCCACTCAAACGCACCTGCGCTACGTCACCGATCACGCCAGACCGATCTGGGACGCAGTATGCGTTCTGTCCTAAATAAGTGTTACGCGTTAGTCCTCGCGTCAGTTCTAAGGTCTAACGCGTGGCCGCACCTTAGGCAATACTATTCCATGACAGCGACGCTCTTACCGGCCAGACTAGTACTGTACTTAAAATGACAAGTGTAATTTAATACATAATAGGTACGATAGTTAAAGTGTAATTTAACTATCGTACCTACTATTCGTTTGTGTAAAGCGGGCCATAGACGGACCGCATGTTGCATTCAAGACCGACTGCAATATGCGGTTTGCTCAGAAACTGCTCGAGCGGTCCGTGTATTGCGAATATGAATTAAGTATGGAAACTGCAGATCGCCGTGCGGCGACCGCATATTGCAGTCGGTCTTGACTGCAACATGCGGTCCGTCTATGGCCCGATTTAAGTATATGAGTGAAGGAACTTTTGTTTGTCAAATTGATAAAAGAAATTTCGTGTGCTAAATTGTAAATATTTTTTGGCGAAAATACTTAAATAAATGTATCTCCTAAACACCCCTAAAGCTGGCCGTAGACGGACCGACTGCTGTAGAGCGTTCGCGTTGAAGTCGTACACGACACGACCCCATAATGCAGTCGACTACGACTGCTTGGAGCAGTTGTGTTCGACCGCAAAATAATACTGATGCGAGTTCATTTACAAGATGGATTTCGATGAAGAAACACTGCTACTCGTACTACTATTACGCAAGCGTAGGCGTAGAAGACACCGTAGTATGTGGGTGCGTCCAATACTACATTTGAGAGCTGAGAGAAGACACTAAAAAGTTTTTCAACTTCTTTAGAATGTCCGTGGTTTCATTTGATGAATAATAGTTAGTAATTAGTATTTTATTTGAAGGAGAGGCGCGCGGT